TAGGCAAGTGTATGCATTTATTTCCCTTAATATAACTCCCAAGATTCTACATGTATGGATTTAATTGAGACTTAAAACTAGCCTCACAGGGATCTGTCTCATCCTCATAGGAGACATGAGGAGGTGTGGACTTGTAGAAGGATGATGTCAACAGTCAAGCAGACCGAGTGCATAGGGACATAGGCTTGACCAAGGTGATTGTTGGTTCACATTCCTTTGAAGGCACATCTATATAATCTTATATCTGAATTGTTAATTAAACAGTATAATGATAAGCTTCTGTATGTTAGCAGCTGTTGACATTCAGATTGATGAGGGAGAATGAAAATGTTGGAGCTCTTTGGCGGGAAGTTGTATCCCGCCAATGGCCTTAATCCCCGGGCTGAAGAGGAGGATACATATCCGTAGCCAGAGAAGCAGCGCTGTTTACGGAGCTTAGGGAGTCTGAGCTGCTTAAACAGAAACCACCCTTGGAGATACTCACAGCAAGACCCAGCGAATGTGCACACAGGTCCACATGCTAACTCGCTTTCTCATCCATCTTGTCGTTTTTGTTGTTCTGTTGCTAAGTATTAGTATTTACCAGTTTATATGGTGTTTTACCAGAGCAGCTCAGATGAACTTACCAGTGAGAACTTCATCTGGATTCTTCCAAGTCCTGAACTGCCAGCCCTTGACTTGTGAACGCATGTGCTTATCCATCATGCTTATGGTTGCTCTACAGACAGTGAATCATTTGTCCATAAGTAAATATACAGTGTGTGATACTACGTTGACCCTTATGGTGAGAACTGACCCTTGGTCTCTCGTGCTGAGGCCTACACGTGAGTGTGATATACTGCTTAAGGATTATTATGTGCATGCACTTGTCTTTTATTATGGCAATAAAACATAGCTGTGTCTAATGAGCAGTGCAGGACATCTGCTCATTGCATTATTTCATAGCTATATTGTATTTTCCTCCATTATCATATGCAATATTACAGAATCGCTTGCTATATCACATGTCTGATTCATAAGTGTTTGGATTTTTGTCGGTTTCATAGTCCTTCCTAATCACTAGTGAGGTCAATTACATTAAGATAGTGGGGGAGCATTTTTCACTGAATATACCTGTATCTGATTCTACGATCAAGCAAAGATCAGTCAGATAGGTGACATTTTCATCGGTGTCTTGAAACGTAATGACCCTGCATATTTAATATTCTGAACAATATGATAATGTTATGGACAGAAGAGTTTGTCGCTTTTCTGATTTGAATCCTCCTACAGTTCATGAGCAAGACTGGTTGCTGTGGCAATGGCCATCATTGATGTCATAGGCTGACACTAATGTGGACCTGCTGTAACTAGACTTTTTTCTGCACTGCCCAGGAATTAATCTAGCACTCTAACCAATCTCCTTCTGCACATAAGAGTTATGTCAAAGAGAATGCAGGTTGTGGGAGCTCAACACCTTGAAGGAATACCTTAAAAAAAATAAATGTTAGCATTCTCTGTGATACTGGATTACCATATAAGCTTTGCAAATAATAATAATGCTATGTTGTTTATTTAAGATGAGTGGTGGAGAGTGGGCAAGCCTCTCCCACTTCGAAACAATGCTGGACCACTGCAAACTTTAATGTAACAGACATCTGCTTCAGAAACTGGGGAGTGTAGTGGCTGATTAGATCATCATAGTCTGTTTGGAGGGAATAGGTGGTTAATGACGTTAACCTTTTGTGAGCTTGCAGGGTTTGCTCCATGCTCAGAATTGATAAATCTTATAAAATACTGGAAAGTGTAGTTGCATGTCTAATTTCATGTGTTTGTGTTTCTGTCTGTTAAAATCCCTTGGCAGTGTCAGTATCGCTGCTCAAAAATATGTACAGTGGTACCTTGGTTTACGAGCATAATTTGTTCCGGAAACATGCTTGTAATCCAAAGCACTCGTATATCAAAGCGAATTTTCCCATTAGAAATAATGGAAACTCATATGATCCGTTCCACAACTCAAAAATATTCATATAAAAATTATTAATACAAAATATAAAGTAAAAATACATAAAACAAATTAACCCGCGCTTTACCCTTGAAAAGAATCCTGTATGGTGTGAGGGAGACGAGAGAGGAGAAGAGGAGGGTTATTTTGGCTCACTGGAATCTTTTTCTGTTTGTGCGACTTTGACAAGGAACCCATCCAATGACAGCCTCTTTTGCCTCCTTTTGGATTTCGCAAAAATGTGGACATTGCATTGTCGTTAAACAGATTCATTGCTCGCACTGCTACGCCCTTATTCAGGTGGTGCTTTTCTACTAAATTTTGACTATACGAGTGAGGGATGCCGACTGAAACCAAGCATGGGAGACGATTACCCACAATTCCACAGCGTGAGAAAGTGAATAACCATTGGTTCAGTTGTGATGACGTGCATTCGGCGTCAAAACAAGAAGCGCACGCATGCGCTTCCTGTTTTGATGCTGAGCGCACGTAAAAACAAGAAAAACAAGGAGCACATGTGTGGCATATGATTTTTGATGATACTTGGCGCTCGTAAACCAGGACTTGCTCGGTTTCCAAGTCAAAATTTATAAAAAAAAATTTGCTCGTCTTGCGGAACACTCGTAAGCCGCGTTACTCGTAATCCAAGGTTCCACTGTATATAGTAGTATCAGCACATCAATTAGGGAAACCAGTATTATAGTGTAAGTAAGACAGGACCCAAACGATGATGAATTGTAATTACAAATACAGCACTTTGATATGTGAGTTTTCAGAGAAACATGAGGCACCTAGCAGAGTTGATAAAACAGTTGGCGCCTGAAATGAATTGGTCACAAGAAGTATAAAATCATTTAATGCAGGGGTGCCCAACTCCAGTCCTGGGGGGCCGGAGCCCTGTGTAGCTTAGTTCTTTCCCTGTTCCACCATAAATGATTCAGCTCAAGAGCTGTGTGGTAATTAGCACAAGGAGTTGAATCAGGTGTGTTAAATGAGGGGAAACCCAAAAATATGCAGGGCTCTGGCCCTCCAGGACTGGAGTTGGGGACCCCTGATTTAATGTGTCGAGGGGAACTGTCTCAAGAATGATAACGGCCTGTGGCAAACTGTATTGGCAAAGAAGGACAGTGGTTTCTCACCAACATGGATAGGTGGACACAGGATTGTTGGCAAACATCACTCGGCCTAAAAACTGAGTACAGAAGTGAATCAGCACCTCTGATACCCTTTCTCATCAAAAGCTGTGCTTTATGAGTGTCACAAAGCTGGAATTTATGGCAGGGCTGCCGCTCAGAAATCGCTTCTAAGCAAGGCCAACACACAAAGATGCATAAACACGTGTAGGAGCAGAAAGACCGGACCCCTTAGTAACAGGAAACGTAATATGCTGATGTGTCATCCTTCACCTTTCTTCCTACATCTGAATAGGTTTACATTTGGAGTTACACAGATACTGAATTGACTGCAGTGGTCCACAATGTCTGTCGGCAACTAATAAACATTGTGGGTAGCCATCTTGTGGGAGTTGTTAGGTCTGAGGATTGCTCTGCTTGGTCATGTACTGGCAAAGGAATCAGGCCATTATACAAAACTATGTGGTTCTCAAATAAATTCAAGAGCAGTTTCATGAACGCTAAGAAGTTAAATAGCCTACCATGGCCACCCCAATCAACACATCTAAGCATCAATGAACTTTTTTTGGCAGTGCTGAATCACAATGTTAAGTAGATTTCCATGGCCTGTATCACTCTACCAGCTTTGGAATGATCCAGTGTCCTAATATGCACAATTGTATCCCACAATGCACTTGTATGTCAACATTCTAAGATGGATTGTAGCAGTCTTGAAGGGAAGCTCTCCTTTTTATTATGTCCTTGATAATGATACATTGTTAGGTGTTTCTGTTATTTTGTCCACTCTCCCTGTAATTCACAGACTCAATAACTAATGGTTCATTTACTTATCTATGCATTTTAATATCAAAGTTATAAGTTAAGGAGCCAAACAATGTGCATTCAGAAACTCTAACCCTAACGCCACTGCCTTTGTTACTGCATGGTTTATTTTTTAGGAATTGTACTACCCCCGTTCCACAAAGTCACCATGGAACTTTGCAGTAAGCCTTGGGGCTATAGTGGGTTGCAGTAGCCCTGGCTGCTATGGCAACGTCTTGCTGCTCCTCTTCTTTTGGCATGATGTCATGGCATCTGGCCACCTTGTAGATGATATGAAGCACTGCCCATACATATTTATTAGACCAAGGAAGGAATTATCCTGTGGCAGTAAAGCCAAAGAGAAATTGAGATTGAACAACTCTCTCCCCTTAAAGCCCAGCCACTCATCCAAAGCCAACACCTCAGTATATTCAACGAAAATGAGTTCTCCTCCGCAGCATTTTGCACACACCCAGCTCCCTGCCATTTACTATCTCATGCATCGTTATAGTGTGACATGTGACCCTAACCCTTGCTGGCCTTTACAGAGCATGCTCATTAGGTAATTACACTAAGCTATGTGCTTGCATCCCATTACCATGGTTATGGTTTGCACAAACAGCTAGGGCAAAATTAGTCATTGAATGAATGTGCAAATGAAATATTGTTTTTGTTTTATATAAGTCAATTATGTCCGCCAACACATCAACATTTCTACCTAAAAACATCTCAATTACAGGTCAGACTTTTACAGTAATTACTAATTAAGATTATTCTTAGCTGGCAAATGACCATGACAAGCTCGTGATGTGTTTTATTCATTGTGAAAATCACCAAGTTAATACTGTTAAACTTGTTCTTGAGTATGAATGAAAAAAATAATACGCAACTTTAGCCTCTTGTGGATGGTGCTTGTTACATACACATCTGCTGCCGGACTTAACTTGTATGTCACTGGCGCTGACATGCAGCTAAATGACCCACAGTAGCTGGACTCATTTGTTGTCACTGTGACTGTGAACTAATGGAATGAGTCCATGCAAAATTTTATGCTGTCTGCTAACAGCCTCACTTTTGATTAGTTTGTTTGCAGGGGTGACGTTGGTGGAGGGTGGCCCACTGGTTGATCACAAGGGATGGCAGCCTACAAGAAGGAATGTGGAAGGTGACCAGCTCCAGGTAAAGGTACTCTGGGCAGGGAGGGGGGTCCAGAATATTTTCAGGTGCGGACAAAAGGGGGGAGACAAGCTGTCAATGAATTCTTTCTACAAAACACAAAGGATAAAAACATCCAGAAAAAGTTCAACATAATTACAATGCTAATTTTTTGCAATCTTTAGCTAAAAACAAATCAGAGCCATGGATGCTTCATTTTTAAAAATATTTTTCCAATATGCACTGCACTCTCATTAATATGCACAGAGCACGATCGCCAGGACTCAGCTGGTCTCTGTGGTTTCCATGTTGATTAATAAGCAGCATAAGAAACTCTCCATCTCTAAGGCACTCGGGGTCATTTCGTGGGGTTTTTTTCCACAGAAGTGATGAGAGTCACCATTATTGCACAAAGCACACTTCACGCTTAGTCTTAATTGAAAGTGATACAAGCAGAATTCCCCAGACACAATGAAAAATAAGCAATTACTGACTTCGTCATTGATTCAGGGCATAAGACGATGAATGGAATCTTTTTATGTCTGTGACAGAAAGACAAAGTAACTGTAGACAATACAGTGCCAAAAGCAACAGGTTTCCATGAGCCGGGTGTGCCTGCAGGAAGAGGGTTTTGTCAGAGGCTATTCCGTCTCATTCGAGAGCTCACACCTGAACTTGGCTAGCTACCTGTCATCATTAATTGCTTAACTGAGCCACTGAGCCAACACACATGAAAACACTGTATCTGCATGTGCAATTGCTAATTAAAAAAAATTGTTATGCCGCTTCAATTGCAATTGTGGCAGTAGCTTTACAGTTAGGATTTGTGTATATTCATGCAGTTCTGGAAAGTATTAAAGTTACATTGTGGGCAATTCTATACAAAGGCATGTTTGATGTCACATGCATAACACTGATAAAATGTTATGTATTTCTAGCATATAAATTAATATATTAATTTTGAGGATTTGTCCTTATTCATTGCAAGAGATTTGAAAAGATATGCAAATTGACTCATGAATATTAAGTTGCTTGTGAGTTAAGGCATTTTGATTGAGTCCAAATATTGCACACGTGCATTTGAGGAACTGCTGTTCCATATACCGTGATTGACATCACTCAGACCCAATGACAACTGGCAGGGGAGATCCTGCCCCCATTGCCTCGATCTCTGACTTTGGCTGACATTCTTTGCTGGAAGGTGTGGCCCAAGGTATTCTCTCTGCATGCACACTGGCAGTGGTCAGTTTTGATTATTGCCACCCTTTGAATGAAGAGAATGCTTTGAGGGACAAGCATATTCCCAGTATGAGACATGTTCCTGCTGGTTGACTGTCATAAATATACAGGCAGAAGGTACTTGAAGAATCTGAAGGCACGTGAGAGAGAGAGATAGATATAGATATATAGAAATTTTCTCATTTATAGGCTGTATGAAGGTAGACTGGATAAATGGTCGTTATCAGAGGTAAAGTGTGCTTGCTGTTTGTGTTTTTAGGTAGGGTATTTATCTGTCCTTATTGTGATGCCTTGGCTTATTCTCTAACTTTTTTTGAGTGTGTCTGCTCAGTATTTCTGTTAGCAAAATACTTAGAAGAACTCCAAGTGTTTGCATCAGCACCTCCTTGTAAAGTTTATATCAGCGCACTTCTAGCTAATTGTGGTGCACTTAAACTGTGAAAAGGTTTTATTGTATGTTTGTGTGTCACCTTCAGTTAATGGCATTACAATTGCAGTAATTACAATTAAAATCCACTGCTAACCTAAAAAAGTTCTTTCTTTCTTCCCCTTCACCATAGTCTACTTCCAGTGTCTGAAGAATGGGACCAGTTTTAAAGCCATTGAGCTTGACCCTTCAGCTTGGCTCCACCCTCCTGCTCCATCCATTGCTGTAGCCTCTCACTTCTCCTCCATCAGCATTATGAACATCACCTCCAACCCTCCCAACACCTCCCAGGTCCCCAACACTCCAGCTGATCCCCTGGGTGGTCACACCGTCTGGGAGGTTGTTGTGATCATCCTCATCACCGGACCACTATCACTAGTAACCATCATTGGAAACCTGCTGGTGATAATCGCTTTCCGGCTAAACAGTCACCTGCGCACTGTCAATAACTACTTCCTGCTGAGCCTGGCTGTGGCTGACCTCATCCTGGGCACCATCTCCATGAACCTTTACACCACCTACGTCATTATGGGCCGCTGGGCCCTGGGTGACCTGGCATGCGATATCTGGCTGGCGATCGACTACGTAGCTAGCAACGCCTCCGTGATGAACCTTCTAGTAATCAGCTTTGACCGCTTCTTCTCCGTCACCCGGCCCCTCACCTACAGGGTCAAACGCACACCCAGACGAGCAGCCATAATGATCAGCTTGGCCTGGGCCATCTCCTTTTTCCTCTGGGCGCCTGCAATCCTGTTTTGGCAGTACATAGTGGGTGAGCGGACAGTAGAGGAAAACGAGTGCTCCATCCAGTTCCTTTCTGAGCCAATCATTACCTTCGGGACAGCCATCGCCGCCTTCTATCTCCCCGTCACCATCATGATCATCTTGTACTGGCGCATCTACCGGGAGACTGAGAACCGTGCGCGAGAGCTGGCAGGATTACTGGGCTCGCCGGGCATGGGCCGCGTTTCCCAGAGGTCGAGGCCACAGCTGGCTCTCTCGAGCAGCACCAAGAGCAGCAGCTCCAGCTCTGAAGAGACCCAGGCTGAGGAGTGCAGGGACAGCTGCTTCAGTACCCAGCAGAGCGTACCAAAGCTGCTGATGGGGGAGGAAGAGGACGGGGCATCGCCATCACACTCTGGGAGGAGATACTTACAATCAAAGATCAACGGGAGCTGGAAGATAGATGACGAAAATGGCTCCGAATCCTCCTCGTCGGAGGAGGAGAACGAAAAGGATGAGAAAGGTGCTATGGTGGTACGTGTCCCCCTAATCCCAGTGAATGACGGCCTGGGAGGCAGTAAAGACTGCTGTGACTCCGGGGTGCAAGATTCTGACACTCACCAGTCCGACAGCCAGTCGTCCTTAGGCCCAGCTAAGCCCTCCTCGCTGAAGTGGCCCAAAACTAAAAAGAGACGAAACACCTCCGTCATCAGGGAGAAGAAGGCCGCCCGGACGCTCAGCGCCATCCTGCTGGCGTTCATCCTGACTTGGACTCCCTATAACATCATGGTGCTGGTGTCCACCTTCTGTGAGCACTGCGTGCCCGAGAGGCTATGGCAGCTGGGCTACTGGCTCTGCTACGTCAACAGCACGGTGAACCCCATGTGCTACGCCCTGTGCAACAAATCCTTCCGGGTCACTTTCAAGATGCTGCTACTGTGCCGTTGGGACAGGCGGAAGTGGACCAAGCATCACATGGGAGCACCTTCACCTCTCAGGCCTCACAAGTCCAGCAGTGTTGTATGATTTACTCCCTTCCTTTCACATCGGAGGTCCATGTAACTATGATGCCAGGCAACCAAACTGTAAACAAGTGATTTTTCTTTCGTCTATAGTTGTTTGATCGCTTCCTCAGCCCGTGACCACTATACCTGTCACTCGTGGAAAAACTGGTCCTTGCTGCTACTCAATATACAAGTAGCATGGAGAAGTGTTTAGGGCACTACCAGGAGCATGCACAAGACATTTCAATCTCGGTATGAATGCGTGCAAGCATCCCTGTGCACCACGTTTATGCTACAGATAAAAAAACAAAACTGAATCTTGGTTGCCATTGGACCTGGAAGCTTAAAACCTGACAGTGTTTATTTTTTTTTTAATGCTCAGGTTATTTTGTTTACTTGTTGTGATGGTGAGACTCGTGAGGTTAAATTTGTCACGCTAATAAGATACACGTTTATTTTATGGCTTTCTATATTTTCAATGTGTGTTTCCACAGTGTATTGCCAGCTGATCCTATTGTCAACAGAAATGATTAAGACGTACCGACGAAGGTAAATATCTCACTGGCAGATTATACTTTCTTCAGACCTGGTGAAAATATGGATTAAGCATCCAGCATGACTAATCAATGTCATACTCCATACCAGTTCCAGGAAAGACTTTCACATCACAGTCTAAACCAACTAAACTGTGCCTCCCCTATATTTACAAATGTGTCTCTTAAGCAGTCTCATTTGTCCAAATAAATCTTTTCCCTACGGCTCTGTTGAAACGGTCTGCTAGGGCAGGAAGGTGCCAGGATGTCCCAAACCCTCCGGGCCCTCGTTTCAGAAATGTCCGGTTCTGGTTAGTTTTCCGATTTGGTTTGGAATTTAGCACAACAGGAACATAAGATAGAGCAATAATCTACCTAAATATTACCAAGATATTCAGCATCAGGATTAAAGGCTGATATTGTCCAGAGGGGCTGTATTCAGTTTGTAGTTAAAAAGGCTTTTATCAAGCCGATTACATTCTACATCATGTTGATGGTTTTAGGTTTGCTCACTAAACACTAAATTGCATGATTTGACTGTTTTAGACAAAAAAGATCAAATTAAACTTAGAATATCTTGCGTATGAATTAGTCATCATGCTGGTCTCATGCTGGCCAGTACGCCCACAAGTTCATTGGTACTGAGAACTACAAGAATTTATGCATGTTTTCAGAAAAATAAAATTGACATTTTTTTTGTAACTGAACGGTCAGAGTGACCCTAGCTGTGAAAATCAAGTGCTCAAAGTAGGTACTTTAACCTCACTGCCAAGGGAACAAATCACACAAAAAACAACTGAACATTTGGTCAAAGACAGTGTGCCGCATTGCTATTTTTATCGTGATTAAAAAAAAAAAAAAAAAAAGTTCCTTGCCATTTGGTGTGGCGTTAGTCTTCATCACAGCCTTGCTCTTGTGCTTGTCCAGAATCGTTAAATAACACTTCGTAGTTTTCAGACAGATGCACCTCCAAGAACAGGAGGGGGATGATGAGCTTTGTCAGCTACGCTAATAACCAAGTTTTAGACGCGCAGACATACATTTTGATGGAACGTTACGCCTCAACATAATCGCTATCCACTACGAGCTGTAAAAATACAAAAGTACACTCCCCCATCCTCCATTATGGTCTACCGCTGCAAATAAGAACAAAACAATCTGGCTACATTTTGTGCCGATTCTTTAGACGCAAGAACATTGTGCGACTGTCACAGCTTTGTGTGTGGGCACTATACTACTCCCACCAGTGACGGTTGATTGGATCCCTGGACTGCACCCCCCCCCCCAGCCCCCCTCCCCCGCACAGCAGTTCTGTTTACACCATCACAAACATGCCCGTCATTTCTAGCTAAACATCAGTTTTTAATTCTAATTCTTTGTTCCTGAAAGTGAATTTAGTATTAATCTCCCCTATCAGCTGAAGTCAGACTAGCGTTGAGGGTGTTCAGAACACAAGTATTACAAATTAGGGTATATTTGAATCACAAAGCAAATTCAAATATTTAATTCTGGATGCATTGGCTTATCTTTCCTGCCTTATAAGATCAGTTTTGATGGAATTACAAAGAGGCTATTAATAAATACCAGTTATTGAGTCACATTGTCTTTGTGTACATTTATGCACAAATGGCAGACTAATGGTACCAACATGGACAAAAACTAGCTCAGTGTATCCAAGGCTGAGAGACACAGGATTCGTACGAAGCCAGATGAGACGACTGGAGGATGACAATTTAAATTCCTAACATCATTTTAACGTTTCTGTTCTGCTTAGAATGACAAGCAGGCCCCTTTGACTCCTGTGCAAGAACCAACGCTCACTGGGCGTTTCACAGAAGCTGGACAATCATGCGCTTGCTAGCCCACGAAGAGTCCAAATACTCATCTAAAGAGCCAGGAAGGGGGGGGGGGGTAGTTGATTTTATTTTCGTTGAGAGAATGCAGTACATATATCATAAAACAAAAACCCAAATACTAGTAACTGACTCAGAAACCTTAAAAGCCAGTTTTTAAATAAATACAAAGGTTACTATCATTTTGTTAGATCGCTATTGATAACTTGATTAGCTAAATATTACAATCTCATATCCTAACAGACTAAACCCAACAGCTGTAGTGTAGCTGCACTTGTTGCATTAAACATGGCTGCTTACAAGTACCACATTTAAAAAACAGCTCTGCTGTTTTCTGCTGCCTTTTTCTCATCCATCTTAATCACAGATGTACCATCAGTCCGTTGGTGCCAATACATAAGGCAAGTGAAGGCCAATAGCAATCCGGCTTAAACCAGTTTAAAGTTTGATGAGGACACAAGCATATCTTGTAGTATCTCTTTAGCTGTGACATTACGCTATGCTGTGAAATTTATTGTGAATGTAAATGCCGTGCAAAATAAATTAAGCTTTTTTAGTTTTGTATGGGTAAATAGCACAAAAAGGTGATTTTACATTTTCCTGCGGCTAAAATCTTGAAATGCGTTCCAGAGCACTGCCATTTAGATTTGAGTCAGCATACTCCTAGCACAATGTTTATAAGGACACTGAAGAAGCGAGCAAACAGATATACCACTCGCCATGCTTCAGTCTGGATGATTCCGGCGGCCATCTCGCGTCTCGTAGATCAACACTGCCCTCCACTGGCCCCCTCATGGACTAAGCGTTAATTTATTTTTAAAAACTGTTTTCATGCCTCATACTTCGCCTTAGTTCTTGAAAACTGTCCAGGTGTTACTTGTTTTCTACAAAATCACTTTCCGCCAAAGATGTGTGAAGTTTTAAAGGTCAGAACGTCTCATTAAGAAGGAAGAAAATGAGTCACTCGCGGACGACTTCTGGCATCCCTTCCATGCTAGGATACCCAACAATGTGACTGCTACTTAACTGCGGTCATGCTGTAATGTCGCCCCAGTGACCCGCCCCCCGAAGCCCAGCACGGCCCCCGTCCGAGCCGAGAGCAGAGCGACCGCTGATTACGCAGCCGTCTTCTGGTTCTGGTATATGGAGGCCTTGTCTTTCAGCAAGTCCAAACACAAGTGGCAGCTCCAGCTTCCTGTAAGGGGGAACAAAAGAGTAATTTAGTCAGGACTTGTGTTTACAGGACGGTCCAACCCCAAGTAACAATGTGAGCGCAACTGGCCTGACTGCGTGCTGGCTGAAGCCAAATCAAATAAACAAGGTGTGTGTGTGTGTGTGTGAGAGAGAGAGAGAGAGAGAGAGAGAGAGAGAGAGAGAGAGACAAACAGCACAGTCAAGAAAGCAATGCTGTATGTGACTGAGCCAACAGACCAGCTGCTAAAATCGATGATTCATGTTAAGGACACCTGCTGCACGGCAACAACGGTGATTTAAGAAACTATCGATATGGGGGGGGGGGGCAGGGGGTAGAAAGATCTATGAGTAAATTAATTTAGGAAGTGCGTACCAGGCTAACAGACTCAGATGGGGAATGGGGGTGGGATTAGGGGCAGCACGATTAGCATCGGAATGGAGCGGTACCTTCGGGTGGCTCGGACATGGGGGGGCGCAGGCAGTACATGTGGTATCCCCGGTCACAGTCGTCACAGAAGAGCAGCTGATCCTGAAACACATGGGGGCCCTTTACTTTCATAGATCTCAGCTGACGTGATCTAGTTTATTAAGAGTGTGACAGGGTGGATCTGACAAAAGAAACAGAACCAAAGGCGTGACATCGCCATAGAGAGATGGAAACATTTCAGGTTGTGTCTTGTAAATTCAGATTGCCCCAGGAATGGTTATATAATATTATGTTATTGGTTAGACGCACCAACACAGACAGAAAGTGAAATATATACATTTTTAAGCACATGCACCACACAAATGCCACCCAAAGGAGGGGCTATAATACATTTTAATTACGCTGGTGTTCCTGGGACAGGACTGAGCTGATGTAATCATGTGGGTATTGCTAAATACCCACTTCTAACATGGACAATGTCTGTGGAAAACATCCATGGGGCCAGAAGAGCCTTAAGCGCGGCTCATCAAATCCCCGGGCTCAGCTACATCCGGCTTGCCGCTCGTCACACCAGACCATCAGACACTCTCACCCTGAGCTTTTTCCAGAGCATTGCATCTGGCGGGATGGGGAGGGAGAGAGACGATACCCAGGCTGAGACCGCCGGTGGTGAGTGAAACTACATATTAGCTACTATAGCTGAAATTGCAATATAAATAGCTCTGAGGCAGCCAGTGCAATTATGTTATTATTAAAATAATTGTAAATCATTATCATTGCACTCTGAGTCCAAACAGCTATCACAATATTGGGCTGGCAACGCAATGCACATTTTCAACAGGCAGAGTAAAGGAAATTAAATATGCAAAACAGATTACTTGCAAAAAGCATTCTTCGGGGCAGGTGAATTATACATTGACAAGGAGCATTTGAGATTATCAATTTGACAAATAAAAATTTGTCAACCATAGATGATTTGAATGCTAAGAATAGTAAGGTGGTTGAATAGCTAAGTAAAAGCTTCGAAAGACACCATTAGATGCAGCGCACATGGAGGATAGACAAGATTCCAGCCTAACTGGACTTTTTCTCTCCATGTTCTACCACATGAAACCCTCAATCTGAATGTATCACTATTTCTGTCAATTGTACTTCATTCAACACTCTTCTACTGCAGTCTGGATACTTTGTGAAAGTGCTGTCTCCAGTCTGAGGTGCTCCTACCACTCAGAGGAGCAGAATTTGCATAGTCCTACTTCCTGGGGATGCCCTGTTCACATCACTGAAAAGATCTACCACCCATGTCGCATAATGAATGTGGGGCGGGGCCAGTGAGGTACACACGTCATTCTCGGAGGTCCCACAGACGTTGCAGCACTTGCACTCGATGCATTGCCAACGGTAGGTCTTCACCGCAGCCATCATCACCGGGGTGAACTGCAGGCAGGACGGATGACCTACGACGGACAAGACAGGGAAGTCAGCACCAGCTACAAACAACGGCAATGGAGAGAGACGTGACTGGACTAGAATGAAGAAAGAAGCCCCGTAATTAAATTAAATCATGTTTACACCAAAAAAACGTGCAAAATGTGGAACCAGGGCACACAACCCTGAACGTGGACTGTTGGAATGTTTGAACTTTTCTTTCCAAGATTCATACCTAAAGTATTATGTGTCTGTAATGCAGAAGTTACAGCATCTACACGGGAAATGTACAGCCCCGCAAAAGATTAGTGGACGGTGGTGAACATTTACACAAGACTGATGCTGTACGGGCGTCTACCTGAGCGGCCGCAGTCGGAGCAGGACACCAGGCCCTCGGACTGGCCGGTCTTGCGGTTGACCTTAGAGTCTCCCAAGCAGAAGTCGCAGTAGTTGTTGGGCAGCGCCAGGCCGTCGGGCCCCTTCTTGGGCGCTGACAGGAACAAGAGCCGGAACAGATATTCACATCTTTAACTAACGGGCAAATGCTGTTACGACAAGGAGAGGATATTCCCGGTTTATAAATACAAGTCTTTAAGACTCTGTGGATCATCTTGATCAAATCTGGGGGGAGGGGGGGGGGGTCATTAACTGAGAAGTGCTCAGAATGGTAACAATGCTAGGAAGAGAGGAGTTAAGAAGAGGGCTTGGGAATATACATACCAGAAAAGCAGAAATTAAACCCATTATATCAATAAAATCCAGATTCACAACAAAGCCTCTGCTGCTGAATGCCCCAAAATGCTGTACCTTCCTTAACTTCAGTAAAATCAACAATCCCAGCAACTTATTCCATGTTTACTAATATTTCAATATGCTCAAACCCTGTGGTCCCCAGTTCTGGTCCTGGAGGGCCAGAATCCAACACAGTTTGCAGATTTCCCTGCTCAAACACGTCTTAATCAGCTAATTGGTAGGTGTGTTTGATCAGGGAAATCTGCAAAATGTGTTGGATTCTGGCCCCCCAGGACTGGAATTGGGGAAGCCTGTTCAAATCCCTGCTGGCTGCTGTCATTGGATTAGAATTACTAGAAGCAAAGTAAATGACCAATGAGGGTGAGGGGGGCGGGGCAGAGCTGGACAGCCGTCTCACTTTTGTGCTCCTCTGGCCTGGCCTGAAAGGGGCCTTCGCTGTCCTCCTCGTCCTCGGCATCCTCCGCCTCCTCCTCCGCCAGGTGGGAGTGAGTGTAGTGGTAACTCAGGCCTGGGCGGTTCTTGTAGCGCTTCCCACAAACTGCCGGAATCCAAAGGGCACACGGTGAGGCAACGAGAGGGGACGGGGACACGCACATGCACACACACATGCACACACGTGCACGGAGAGCAATGCACACTGACCATAAGAGCCAATCAGGGACAAAGTCAGTTTCACAAAGCAACAGATCCAACGCACAGGCAGAGGGTCAAATCCCAGCAGAATCACACACCCTAAAGCTGTATTCATTTCTTTCTGGAAGACTATGCTTTTGCACACCCCTGCCGCTAGCCAACATCTCTACAAAAGCAGCTTTCGTCTCCTTAACCAGCTGCAAGGACCCATCCTGCCTAGTGAAGGCGGCCTTCTCACTCCACCGCCTGGAGGGAAGCTTGCTTCACCTCGCATGGCTTAACCCCCCCCCCCCCCTCCGTGCTGCTAGAATGACCAAGGGAGCAGCGCCGGAGCCCCCACCACCAAACATACAGACCGTGTGCTCCAGGGCTCAAATGGAAAGAAGAGCTCTCATTCTGACAGGCTGCCATTTTGCTATACGGCACCATCTAAAAAAGGACACGCCAGGTTCTCTTCATTGCTGTGGACCAGTCCCCACACAAAGTGAGCCACGTTGTTAAGCATCGCTCCGACGCTAAAGCAGACAGTCAAACGCAGCTGCCACACTCGCTGACCATTCATCTTCCAACCTTTCATCCTGAGCAGGGTCGTAGGAGGCTCTGGGGGC